ACTCTTAAATTGTTATGCATACAAATCGGAGAAATAATTTCTTTTAATACGGTATGGAATACAAAAAATTGAACATCTAATTAGTTCTACTCCGCGTAACCGCATACACATATGATAAATCGTACCTTAAATGAATTTTTCGTACAATTTTGTGGCCAGCTTTTAACAGAATCGTTTCCTGAATCGATCTAAACGTGTCTGTCTATCTATCCGCCTGATGTCCGCATGAGTAGCCAAGCAGGCAAGCCAAGTAGGCGATTAGGTAAGAATCATGACTACCAAGTGAATGCTCGCAGATTTCAGTCTTAGCTCCGACAGAGTTTACTTTGATCCCATCTTATCTGCTTATTTGCTTAACCACTTGGGCATATACCGAGTAGACTGCAGCCACTATCTCCCCATCGCTTTCGCTTACCTCAAGTCTTCCTAACCGTCACCGTCACCGTGTTATACGAGTAGGGGACAGCGCATTAAGTGATTGATCGTTACAAAAAAATTTATATCTATCCACGCATATTTCCATTTTGGCCCAAGCATACCCACTCCTTTCGCCACTACGCATATAAAGCCTAATTTTGAAAAGTCGTTACATTAATAATGCATTAAGCGATGTGATGCATCGTAACGCATCGTAATATTTTTTGTAGCCGTTTAAAAAGGTAAAAAAATACTATTGCGACAATTTTATGTGAAATAGTGCGGAATGAGCAAAACTTAGAGTCACACTAAAGGATTAACTATTTGAAGAGTTATAAGCGCGCAGACGCTTATTTAAAACATTTGAATTAAAATCAAAGGATTACCAAACAACTTTTTTACCCTTTAATTTATAATATTTTTGACAATTCGTTTCTTTTTTTTTTTTTTTACTTTTTGTAACAACTCTCTTATGCACAAATAAAAATAGTTGTATATAGTCAGTCGTCTAATGGTTTTCGCTTCATGTCATATTGTCAAAAGTCAGAGAAAATATAATAGGAAATCAAAATAACAATGCTTTGTGACTAGTGGCGCGACATAATTATGCCAGAATGCGGCTATTAATTGAAGGAAAAAAAAAAAAAAAACAAAAACAAAGAAATTATATAAATTCATGCTAAAAAAAAATTGAAAATTTAAAACTCTCCGATACAAAAAAGGATATGAGAAGATTTTCCATCATACCCTGCACCATTTGCCTTTCTACCCACCTTTTATTACAACCTATCGTTTCAGAATCACGTTTTGAATCGATATGAGCTTATCTGTCCGTCTTGCATCCTATGCCGAACCACAGGTGATAATTTTTAAGATATTTTGATGAATTTTGCTAGGCTGTCTTGCTTCGGTCCAAGAACGAACACGAATCAAAAATGGTTCGAATCAGACCATTCTCTCACCACCCGTTCTAATGTAACGCCTCATTTTGAAAAGTAGTTGCATGGATGATAATAGCAGGGCGGTGTAAGTTCGTGGCCCTCTATAGTGTTTCTACTTGATTTCGTTACGAGAAGGTTTCTTAGAATAGCCATGATATATTAGAGGAATACAAGGTAGTAGATCCATTACTAAGAATGTTGCCACATTTACAAAAAAAAAAAAATTGCGATTTAATTTTCGCACTTAATATTATTTTTGTGTGCAACGTGAAATTACATAACTTTCATAAACTGCGTATCTTTGCATTGACAAAATGATAAAAATTGTGCGATTTCTGCTTCTTCTTCTTCTTTTTTCTTCTAAGAAGCGACCCATAACAAATTGAATTTCTGATTATCATTAGTTAGGTTTTTATCAAAGAAGATGGACGTGCAACTGGACTTTCAAAAGAAAACGATTTATATCTGCTTTGCCGTAGAGCAGCATCGATCATAAAATCTAACGGATTTATTTTACTACTTATTGAAATAATAAGAATTATATTTATGATTGTTCATTCCAAAGTATTGCTGCGCCCAAAAATGAGATAATTTACGCACAAATAATACGATTCCCAAAAATACTTTACATTTTAAAAGATTTCTTCAAGCCAACTAATGGATTTAAGCATAGTTTTCTAACCAACACAATGATGTTGATATTTGAGCGATGGCCTAAAATAATATAATAATGTCTCGCTTGAAACTGAATTTACGTATGTCCGGATGTCGCAAACAAACATTTTGTCACCCCTTTTTATGGTAATACTTAAGTGTAAGTTAAAAAATACATTTTATATTGAAAAGTTTTAAATACTTTTTTAAAATTTTAAATAATTCATAGCGATCATATGACATAATGTAAAAATAACAAAAAAAAAAATTATAATTAAAACTTATCTAAATATTTCATGCTTTTGTGTTTTTCATGGTCTCAGTCGGTGTAACAAAATAATTTTAAAAATCATTAAAATTAATTAATTCTCTTAAGAGGCATTTTAAAATTTATAGGAATGGGAAAACACAGTTAAACTTATTTAGGCAGTGTCTATATGAAATCTTTATATTTTCTACACTACCTCGTAAATATATCAATGCCGTCAAATTTGATCCAAGAAAAAAAAAATAAATAAATAAATAAATAAATAAAGAAAACTAATTAGAAAATTTTCATTTATAATGAAATTACTTAACAAACACATTGTTTACCTTATATTCAAAGTTATTTTTCAAACTACAAAAATCTAGATAGGATTAGCAGAAATAAAAAACAAATACTTGACTGTCTTATCAAAATTTCTCAATGGGCTTTCTATTCTATTTTCGATTATTCAAAATATTTTTAACTAAAATCAAGTATACTTGACTTAATTTCAAGGCTCACCGTCAAATAATTTACACCACTTCGTTTTGTTCAGTTATTTTTATAGCGGTCTTTTCAAAATGGGATATTACATGGGAAGTGTCCGATCCAATCCGATCCGATCCGAAACATGTCGATGCACCAAACTTTATGAATATAACCCAAAAATTGTGATATATGGGTTGGAGACAAGAAAGAAAATGAACAGACGGACGGACAGACAAGTTTATATCGATTCAAAATGTGATTAAAAGATGGGTCTATCCCAAGTCGTTCTGGATGTTGCGTAGATGCTCATAAACTTAATATACTCTTGCACCACAAGTGATATATAGTATAATAGCAAGATTTAACAGATTTAAAGGAAAAAGCTATGCAGCATTCTTATCGAAATTTAAATATGTTAATAATGAATTGTTAATTTGTGTTTTTTTTTCTTTTCTTTTTTTTCAAATTATTCAAATTCTTCTCTTTAATTAAAATCGGGAATACTTTCTTTTAATCTCATTTTAAGTGTAACGGAGAAATCGTTATTCTTTTCTTATTTTTTTTTTTTTTCTTATTAAAAGAAATATTTTACAATTTTTGCGGAACCAAAAAAATCAAGGTGATGATCTCTCTAACTGATATACACATATATATATATATATATATATATATATATTTGTATATATATTCGATAAGTTGCGCGAGTATATCGAATATCAGAAATATTTCTTTTCTAAATTGTTAGCACTGTGACAGGCACGTGTGTCAAATTTCACATCATAAACCTCATTAGTGTTTCAGCTGCGCTTGATTTTGCACGACACAAAGAAGTTGCATAAAAATTTTGTTTGCGAAATGAAATGAGATGCGACTTGGATCTACGGCCACGGCTCGGAAACAACCAATCAATCGAGCGTATATTGTGCAAAAGTTAAGACAAGATCGAAAAAATCATTCCGAAGCCAAGGTAATAGTTCTTCCTTTTCGATCATCATCGTTGTTGTGCACTTTGAATTCCTTTCGCCCGGCCAAACTGTCAACAAGTATTACAATTTGAGTTTGAAGATTACTTTTGAAAGCGACGAAATAAATTTGGAATAAGAAATAGACTTAAAAAAAGGAAAAAATTTAATTGGGTCTTACTTTATGGACACAGTAGTATATATAAAGACTGGGAATTTGACGTCATTCTTGTGGTAAAATGTTGAAAACAAATAAAAAAAAAAAAAAAACACTGTCAACACTGAGAGTTGAGGGTTAGTAAAAATGAACCATCACGCGAGCGAGCAATGCATTTTCATTGAAAGTGAGGTCGATCAAGCAAGAATTGTTACTGGGTGCTCGATATCGCGTTGTCATAACGCAGGAGCAAAATTTGAGGCTGGTCAAGAAATTCTGTGAAATTTCCATCCAGGCAGTGCAAACCATTCGGCAAAATGAATCATACTTTAATTATGGGTATGAAAACAACTTTGTCTTCTATTTAATTCAAATATTGCGTATATTTTAGGATATATATTTGCTGTATATATATATATATATATATATACATGTGTATATCAACTAGAACTGGCAAGTAATATTTAAGCCTCGGCACAACCATACCTGCGTAGAGCTTTGAACAGAATTTTATATTTGACTTTTTATTTGGGGACTTCCATATAGCGCACACATACAGCCTAGTTGATAACCAGGGCGACTATCAGATCGCATATCAGGCTTTAATTGCTGATGCAGTAAACTATACTTTATTTACGATCACGGTCGTAATGAATGTCAAAACCTACAAATCGAGCATACACCTCTCAGCCTGCAACCACAGCCTTCTTTCTCTTCTCTTCTTTACGCTAACTTAATTCATACTGTGAGAATATTTTATTACGGATGCAAGTAACAAAGGATTGTTCTTGTAGACATCCCAGAGATATACTATTTACACCAAATGTGTAAAAAAAAAAATTAAAAATTATTAATATTTTTTGTTGAAAAATATAAAAACATTAAAAAAAAAAAAAAAATTTGTAAATCAAGTCAGTCCGTAATTGCAACTTGATCATAAAAATTTTATTGGGTTTTAGAAATTTTTAGAAATTTCTAAAGAAAAGCTTGAAATTTAGTTAGCAAATTGACATAGATTTATTAAATTTTAACAAATATTTTCCATACATAGTATTTTCCGACATATAAGAAACGCAATGCGCGTATTGAAGGGAAGGCATAGCGTGCTATGCACAGTGTTTGCGAAAGCTTACCTTTTGCAGCACTCATCAAATCTTTAACCTCCTTGATGATGCGTTTAATTTGATGGCTGGTGTGATCCAATTCTTTTTCATGACGATTTAAATTATCGCGAAATTCTGGACTATCAACAGTGCATTCTTCAAATTCAAGCGGCTCTAAACCGCGCCTGGCATCTTTCCTTCCACCACCCATTTTATTATTATTATTATTATTATTATTATGATTAACGCTTATGCTGCGTCCAACAACCAAGCGATGCGATTTTCTTTTACTTTTAAGATTTCTTTTTATTAAATTATTATTATTATTATTATTATTGTTATTATTATTATTGTTATTATGATTACTGCTGGCGGTGGTATTGTTCGGCGAAGACGCGGATTTTGATAATTTGTAAATACCTTTAATGTTATTGTTGTTAAATTTTTTATTAATATTATTTAAATAATTTAAATGATTTTTGTTGTTATTGTTATTGTTGTTGGAACTTTTTGATTGATTATTCTTCATAATTTTTGTTTGGTTTTTTGTTCAATAGAATTTAACACAGGTTTTCGTTAAATGGAATAAAATTTTATTTATAAATTGCTACTTGACATTAATTTGAAAAAAAAAAAAAAAAAAAAAAAAAAGGAAGACAAAAACACAAAAAATTAAGATTTTTCAAAGAAAATAAAGTTTAAAAGTTTAGATTGACTCAAATTAACACAAATCAACGAGACGTACATATAAGGAAATAAATCAAATTTGTATGTGAATGTGGAATAATTGAACAAATTTAATTAACAACATATCTTCACACACATGAATATAGCTCGAATTAATTAATTAATTAATTACATTCCTTTTGCTTCCCATAAATAGGCACGCACACACACACTCACACACACACACACATCCACACCCAAAATATTTTTTTCTTATCCTTCCTCAAAATAAAACTAAAACTTGCAAAAATCTTTTGACATTTTTTTTTCATTTTTTGCTTTTTTGTGTGAAATCTTTGATTATTAAATTTTTTTTTTTATTGTATGATGTATTATTTCGCTTCATCTCTTCTCTGTTTATCATTTTTTGTCTTTTAAATTCTTTTATCCAGATCGCTCTCACTATAGTTTGTTTTTCTCCATATATTTTTATCTCACGTATTGCGTTGTTGCTGTTACTTCACCTTTTTTTAACTGCTCAACCGTTTTATTTGCGCTCACGTACAAACGAACGATTGCACAAACGTTTCTAATGAAATCATTTCATCTCTCTTTGACGAACGCGTTCGGAGAATCCTGCCGCATATGGCATATAACGTTTGCGCATTCGCACTTTATCACCTCTTCTTTTTTTTTTTTTGCCTTTGTATATTAGCAAAAATATATAGTAAATCCAATTTCCTTTTACGTTTACAATTTTCTCACTTTATTTGTTTCATAAAACTAGATGCTTTATCTACTTGTTTCTGATACACACGCATACGGGGCAGATGCTAAAAAATACGTAATATAAATGCGCTAGAAATGAAGGACAATATACTTTGCTTTAAAAACCGAAGCTCAATCTTCATATGTATTTAATAGGCAATGAAGTTTTTTCGGTAACGAATTTAAAGTTCGTTTCTATTTTCACGATCAATTTTTGGCCATTAATATACATACACATGCAAGAATTTTTAAATCTGCACTTCATTAACTATACACAGTTATTTAGGAGCATTGTGGAATGTCATCTATTTGTACATGTACGCACAAATACATTTTTACATTTCATTGCACTTTTTCTATTCTTGTTTTTCTCTTTTTTTTTCCCCTTAGTATCTGTTTGTAAATTTCCGTTCCACCGTATTGTTCGTGTTTTACCTCATCTTTATCATTTCAAACTAACAGTTGTTGGAATTTTGTCTGCTGTCAATGCATTGGTTCATGTCCATTGATATGAGCTTTGCTTAGGGCTGCCAACCTTTACGAATTTTCTCTTTGCTTTCTTTGAATCGTTAAATGCAAACACTTTATCATTTATTTACTTATCAAATGTACTATATATGTTCTTAGGGAGAGCTCAGAATTCAATTAAATAAGTAGCATTATTATTAATTTAATAGAGAAATAAAATCGAATACTAAAGTTTTAAAGGACTAACATGTAAGGGTACCGCCGTTGAGATTTGAATCCACAGTCAGTGAATTATTAGTCGAAATCCTTTGCGCACACGGTCACGCGTGCTGCGATCAAAGCTTTTTGAATTTTTCGAATAGCTAAACGAAATAACTTTTTCCAGAATTTAAATTGACATAAACAACTATTTAGAAATTTATTTAAGCAATTTTTATTTATACTTCTCCATCTAATCACGTTTTACTCTTCATTTCGTGTATATTAAAGGGCTGCGATACTTTTCTTTTTATTATAATGCTTCTCAAGCATTTTGATATGTCTAGTGATCGTTTAAAAATAAAAGAAAATGGTCAAAACAAAATTCTTCTTCGAGATTTTATATTTCAAATGAAAACAGTATGTTGAAGAGATAGCCGCTTGTTATTACAAAAAAAAAACTAACATTGTGTTAAGTACATTTTTACCATTCTTTATTCGCATCTAACTCTTCTGATTTAGTGTTTTCGTATTGAAGAAAATAAATGTTAAAATTTCGTTGCTGTATTTGTTCTCTGTTAATATTGGCTATGCAAAAAAAAAAAAAAAAAGCGAAAACCGAGTATAATAATAAAATATCTTTTGTGCATGAATTTGACAGTATTCTCTAAGAGTATTTGGCAACCAACCCCTCTAACATGAAATTGAGCCTCTCTCTCTCTCTCTCTCTCGCTCTCTCTCTGTAAAAGTACATAATATAATGAGATAAGTTCGTATGCAATACATTATGACAGATTTTAAAGGCTCGATTAATGAACTCGTATCGCGCATGCAATGTAATAAAATAAAGGCGTTCGGTGAGGCTTAATATTGATATATAAACACTCGAATTACTTATCTTTCAATTTCCAAGACCTTCATAAAAATATGAGAAAATTTAAAAATAACATTTTTTCGAAAATTTCGTTATAATACAGATTTAAGAAATCATTTAGCATCCTTAATTGTAGAAAGCCTTTACATACATATATAAAAACTTGATAAGCGAACTTGATTTCTTTTTCCGATTTTTCAACATGAATTCAATATTTGTTGAAATTTTCCCCTCCTTTGCTTGCTTGAAATGCTTAAAAACTAGTTGAAAAAATATAATTATTGAAATTTGAAAAAAAAAATTTATTTTTTTGAAATTTTTTCCAACTTAAACATTTTTTAAGTTCACTGACTTATATTCACAAGAAAATTTTACTTCAGCTGTTGACAAAAGCATTTATTAATTTACATTCTTTTCTTAGTTATTTAACGCTTTTCGAAACATGAACATCAAAAATGTCCCGTGTATAACTCGAAACGTGATTAGAATTTATAATCATTTCTGATCATAGTGATGCGATGCATGCATGGTTTCGTCTACACATATGTATAAAATTGCGTTTAACATTTTAAATTGTATTTAACGTTGAAGCCTACAAGTGATATATATACATATATGCGTTTATTTAGCAATTTGCGCACAGAAATTTTAATCCTCGAAATAATCGCTTTTAAAGAGAATAATATATTTGCATCGAAAAAGGTTAACAAGTATTTAACTCGCTTAACACATTCAGTCGATTCATTCATTCACCCAATTAACAATCGGTAGCACTTAACTTCAGGACAGAATAATACCATCTCACTTCTCTTACATGCATATAAATATGAAAATGTTTCAAACTGTGTAATATAAAAAATGTTTTGATGAAAACCAAAACAGTTTTGCTTTTTGCTTAATAAATGACACAATAATATAAAAAATACCTGTTGTCATAAACAAAACCTTAATTTGCCGTCATCATTTTTATGTGGACTATTAACCTTCTCCTTCCTCTAACTGTTATTGTATAGCAACAATTATAACTCGATTATAGTTCGACTCTGAGCCATGAAATAAATTAACTAACCATTCATATGCTAATAAAATGTTAATTTTAAGCAATTCCTGTTTTTATATACCGTATAAAAGAGAAATCGTGTAAAAATATATTGCTGAAATCTTTAAGTACATATGCAAACTGAAAACAATTAGGAAAATTATATTCAAGTATAGCCAAATCTTACTTAAAAAGAGCAAGGTAAGTATATTCGATTGTGGCCGAATTGTTTATCCCCTATTATAAATTCAAAACAAAAAAAAAAAATCTTGATAAAAAGAAAAATGACACAAAAATGTATCATCACAGCAGTATAGTTTATGAGAAATAAAAAAAAAAGAACAATTTGTGTTTTTTATTGGGTAATTTTGAAAGGAAAAATGCCCTCAGTAGGCGTGTACTTTGACCGATTTGTCTCATTTTTGATACCAACTTGCGCTTGCAAACACTTTCCATTTTTTGCATCAGGGAGAAAGTTCTGCGAATACATTAGCGCAGCTCGATCGATTGACATGCCTAGATCGATTCAAAATTGACATATTGACCATGGATATGTGTACTTTGTAGGGCCTTCGAAATTGCCTTGCGGTTGCTGCAAACAATTTGCAAACAAATGAATATATGCACATAACCTCATCCTTTGGTGATGGATATCAAAAAAAAAAAAAAAAAAAATATTTAGAGGGAAATTTTTGGAAAAAAAAACGTAAAGTACTGATGCAGAAATGTTCAAAATTCACCCTCTTCGTTAGAAAAATCTACTTCATCGTGTACAGTTTAAAATGTGTAAAATGAAAAGCATGTTAAAAATCATTATGTTTGACATAAATTGAAAAGAACTTTATTTACGCCGTAGACGTTGTCCTCTGATATTGAAAAAAATGGAAGTCGAAAGAGTAACGAAGCAAATGTCAAATGCTTATATATTTTCTATTTTTACAAAGCCAAATGACAATTATTTACCTATAAGTGCATATCATATGTACATTAATAAAAGTAATTTGCTCTTGCTTAGAAAAAAAAAAAGAAAGAAAAAAATGAATATAATTTCAATGAAAGAAAGAACAAGTGATTTAATTTGAAGACCTAATATTAAGTTTTCATTTAAGTTCGCTAATGTAGGCGTATTCCTATCAATATTTTTCACATTATATACAGTTATTCATAAATTCGATTAAGCAGGAGCATAAAAAAACCAAAAATAAATAATAAGACTTTAAAAGCGATCTAATCGAACTTTACTTTATCGCATATTAAGCACTCGCTCAAACACTCACTCATACGCAAAAACAACACAACGTACACTTGTCTGTATACATATGGCTATGCTCATGCATTTATATTTCAAAAAAAATAAAAATAAAAAATAAAAATAAATAAAAAATATTTTAGTAACAAGACTTTCTTAATTTATTTATTCTTCTCTTTCAATATTCAGGTTTTATATATATATAGAGGCACACACATACACTATTTGTGGAAGTAAACATACGGTTCGACCTTAAATTTTGGTAATTCGCCTACAAGTCAATCAACACTTATTTAACAAAATCTCTCAACTGGATTTCTTGTAGGAAGTTTTCAAGTCAAAATTTGCAAAGCTTTGCATTATCTCGCCTCATATCATTTCGATGCGTATCGGAATGTTGTAAGGCAAAAAAAAAAATAAAAACAATAAGAAATTTCATTGATTCTTGATCTCGTGTTCAATGCTGTATTGAAATCTATTTGTTTTCTTTGCACTTTCTTCCAATTAATTGTTTAATCCTCTCCTTTTCTATATCACTGTTTATATCACACATAACAACACTACAAACACATAAAATTACATGCAAATGTATGTATAATGTTTTAATCTTCCGGTTCATTTACGTTACAGAGATGATTTAATTTTGTTTTTTTCCTTATCTCCACTTCTTTAACAGAATTACGTTTGCTTATTGCCGCGTGTGCGTACGTTAACTACGTTTTTCAAACAAACAATTAAAATTCATTTTTTTTTTTATACATTACGCTAGTTTCTGTCGTTGCGTTTTTGTCGAAATCACCGCAGAAATTTGCATTTCAACTTGTTTCAGCTGTCTACCGCGCCCGTTTCAACAATCAACGTACATACACTTCTTGCCATTGTTCCCAGTCGATTATCGTTACCGGGGATTTTTTTATATTTTTACATCAAACATCGGAATATGGGAGTTTATTAATTTTCTTATTTTATTTATTTACAAAAACCCAGAGATGCGTATGCGCGCATCAGAAACTTCACAATAAACATACATTTTTTTTTTGTATATTTCAAACATATTGTGAATGCACTTATGTGTATATATGTGATTGTAAAAATTTCGAAGAAAATTTCGAGAAAATAATCGCAATATTTATCATAACAATAAATTTATACCATATGCCTTATCCGTTGCATCCGTTGAAAACTTTATTCAACCAAAGTCATCGTCAGTGATCGTCTTGTTAAAAATGAAAAAGTACATACGTATATATGTTGTATTTCTTTAAAAAGCTTATCTTGTAAACCTTGTCTAACTCTTCTTAAACGTAGTAACGTGTAATTGTTCATTTTTTTACAATTTCTCAAAGTGTAAGTAGAATTAACTTAATAAGTGAAGTATTCGGGGCAAAGTAATAGTAGCCGGTGGGTCCCGTCTAACATGTTGATCTTTTCAAAAATGATGATTATGACGATGATGATTTTATTCGTATTGTATGTTTTTAGCAGCCATGTTTTGCTTTATAAACGAAAAAACAAAACAAAAAAAACACATACAAAATACCTACACACCAATACCGAATTGGAGTAAATAAGCAACATAAGCAACAACTTATAGAAATACATATATATATATATATACACATATTATATATATATACGTGTTGTGTGTGTGTGTGTGTGTGTGTATGTGTGTACGTATGAATGCAAAATGAATCCGCTCCGCAATTTTTTTTATATGGATTGTATTTATTAAAAAATAAGTTTTTTTTTTGTTTGCATTTCACAAACTAACCATTTATAGAATTTTTCCGAATTATTTGCACTTGAGATGATGGCTTGGTTTTTCGATCACCATCACTGATACACTAATTAAAATAAATGCGTTTCTTTTTTAGCTTATATTTCAAACTTTTTGTTTTCCAATACGCTTTACACTTCAAAGTATCTTTAAAATTTTTGATCAGCTTATTTAATATGAATTTTTGTTCTTTGTATTTATATATTATTTTAACACTTCGT